CCAAAATAGATATTTGGATATCAGTTCTATTAACTCATTGAGAAGAAAGTCTTCGTCTTACGACATATTGCCCTCTTAGAGAAAATGTTTACTCTAGGAGAGGACAATAGGAGTAAAATAGAACTTGAAAGAGTTCAAGAGTCCACAAATATAGTTAACCAAGTAGATGAATAAGAGTTTTATCCCATATCTAATATGGGACATACTCTTAATCAGGGAGTAGAGACTCCTGAGGACATGTCAGCTCTATGTGAGTCTAGTAGGATCATTCGACCTTCAAGAATGTGCGAATCCATGATTACTAATCAAGTATTACTAATCTACGATGATGAATATACTAATTACACAAAAGTAAAGTCAAGTTTTGACTTAAAAGAAACACCAAGAGACCATAAAACTCGAGATGAACTCAGCGTATGTGAACAAGGTTTAGACCTTGGTCGACCCTCTTGATGGGATAAAACCCATAGGTTATAAATGGTTTATGAGAAAAAGGTCGAGACGGATGGGAATATCCGTACATACAAAACAAGGCTGGTAGCAAAAGGTTAAGTGTTGACCTTGACGAAACCTTTCACCTGTAGCCATGCTAAAGTTAAATCGAATTTTGATTGCATTAGTTGCATACCGTGACTATGGGTTAAAACAAGTCTCTTGGAGCTGAAATTTTTGATTTGATGGAAAAATCAAAATTTTTGATTTTATTAAATATGAAGACGAATTGTGTTTTTACAAAAAGATAGTGGGAGCACTGTCGCATTTCTAATATTATAGGAAACATCATCCCTATATTTCAATCGTTAAAATAATGGTTGTTGATCTAGAAGATTGCTTAACTCGTCCTAATCTATATAAATAAAATCTTGAGAAGATTTTATATGGAGAAATTGGTTTACTCTTAAACCGTGTGTTGGAAAGATTCCAAACATGAACCAAACGTTGATTCAATAGCGAAAACCTAATACATGATTGTTTCAGAAGTAGTAAAGAGGTGCAATGTGGATTAAGATGTTCATTAATGAACTTGAAATAGTTCCTAATATTGTTGATCACATACATTGTATTGTGATGACAATAGAGTCATTGCGAAAGCGAATGACCTAAGGTCTAATCAATGATCCAAACATGTATTTAAGGTGGTACAATCTCATCAGAGAGATAATAAATAGAAATAACTAAAGAGATGAACGAATTTCCACATTTGATAATATTGAAGATCCACTGAGAAAGAGTTGTCATAGCATAAACATGATAGTCATGTAAACTCTTATGATATTGGATACATAAGTAATTGGACCTAGTACAAGTGGGAGTTTGTAAGTGTTATGCCCTAAGACCAATCAACCTTGGATATAAATACTTTTAATATATATTTAATGCAATTTAATGATAGATCTATTATTTAATTAATAGACAACTAAATTAAATGATATACTCCGTAGATTCAAATTTTCGTAATTTGTTAATTACAAGGAGTTGTGATTGTGATATACAAATTATATATGATTGAATCTTAAATCGTCCGTGGTCGTAAGTAATAACGAGATACGGATATCGTTATTATGGATGGACCATCACATGTGGCATTTCTGACTTGTGAAGTAAGTAGTTGATTTCATGAGCTAAAGTGTAGTGACACTTGAATGAAAACGTGGATGTTTTGTTATAGAACAAAACATTGGAGACCCGTCTAGAGATTTCACATGGATAACTATCTGAGTGTCAGTGGTAAATCTCTAACGTTCGGTAGTGGGATTGGTCTTTTGACTTGAGGTCGCCATAGTACCTTATATGAGGACAGTCATGTTTTGACGGTGTTGGATGTTGCTCTATCAAGGGCTGCTAATACGATATCGTTCGGGTATGTCAGGAATTATATGAAGGTTGTGAATAACCAATAGAGGATTCGTCACACTTAGATAGTAAGAGATTATGATCTGTATTTCATTCAATTAAGTTGATAACGAAATCAATTGCCAATGTTTACTCATAAGTCGAAAAGGAGTTTTTGACTTCTATTGATTTAATAGTTGAGTGAAAGATATGATCGATAATCGAGATTAAAACACTTTCATATCACATAATTTATCGCATCATATTAATGAAAGGATTATAGTTTCATGGTAAACGAACAAGTTTGGTTTTGACATTTCCCGTCACATGTATTACCCTGACATATTGCTAGATGTTAATTTTGGACGACAGTGTGAATTTGTGATAAATTAAATGGGGGTGTTTTAATTTATCAATTTTGATTAAATTAAAATAATATTTCACGTCGTTAGGTATCGTGATCGGGAACCTGATGGGTCGCACACAAAAGGAGAACTTGAAGATTGTGATTTGTCAAGTAATTAATTTAACAAGTATTGGATAAATTAATTAATTGGGTTGCTTATTTATAGGTCTAAATTGATTAATTTGATTAATTAATTCACGGACCGAATTTAATCAAATGAGTTAATTAAATTTTGGACCGGGTCAGCCAAGCCTGTTCGAGCTTATATAAATATAATTAGGGTTTTCAAAATTGTAGAGATTTTTTTCGTTATTCTTGCTAACACAAGAAAAATTCTAATACTACAATCTTATTCTCTGTGTGGATCATCGTTGGAGGCTGAACAATTGGACAGTTGTGGGTAGTAGATCAAAGCTACTGGAACAAGAGAAAAGTAAAGAAATTTGCAGATCTCATAAAAGGTACAATCTTTATCACAGTTTCTATATAAACAAAAAGACGATTCTTAATGGGAATCGAAATTTATTTTAATTTTTCGCTGCACATGTGAAATAGATTCCCAACATCTAGTTTATCTTTAAACTTGAGGACTTTAATGATTTTCAAACTCTGCTCTTTTTAGTAATGCTTTCCCTTTCACGGCCTGTTATACTCGGGCTTCTAGAAGTTTTATTAGGGGTGGCAATTTTGGGTTCGGTTGCCCTCTTTGGTGATGCATCGTAGGACCTGCTAGCCTTCGAAACTGGAGCAATCCTTGAAATATTCTGGTGTTGCTTTATTGAATCATAAGGGAAATTTGAAAATTTATTTATATAGAATTTGTATTTTATTTTCTGAAAATATCTCTTTTACAATTTCTAAATGAGGCTGCAGAGGGTGTTCTCAGAGACAAGAGGTGGAGAACACTTGCTACTTGGGAAAAATACCTCCGGTTCTATCATCCATGTCCATAAAGGGAAGAAAATTGAAGCATCCCGAACATAAGACATAAGAGAAAACCGTTATATCTATAAATTACGTAGTGTGCAAGAGATGAGGGGATTTTACATACGCCAATTCAATATTGATTATTCAATTGGATTAGGCCTATTTTATCAAGAAAATTCGTCTTGGGTTTGGCTCGATTCATTAGCCGCACTTGGCCCATTTTTATTTCTTTATATGTATGTGAGTCAATTTCACACACAAGGTAATGTTTTTTTTAACCCTAACCAAATTCCCTTCTCTCATTTCTTGCACCTATTATATTTCGTCCAATCGTTGATTTGACCATCGAAGTAATAAACGATTGTCAGACCTTTTTCTCTATTGGTGACTTTTGCCTCCCAATGAGGTGTTCAAGTGCCCAGATGCTTTTTACGTGAAGGGAAGGTGGGCGGGATTTATGTTGATCATGCGTCTGTCGAATTTTGAGATCAACCAAAAAAAAAAAAAAAAATGGGCTAAAAGGTCAAATTATATTATTCAGGCCCAACTGAACCCAGAATTTAGAGAGTCCTTTGGATATTGGGGAAAAAAATAATTGTGAAGTTGGTCTATCTTGCATTCAGAATAATTATTATGGTAGAAGTAGAACAACAACTTCTTTTTTCCTTATTTATTTATGGAGGTAAAATTCCTAGTCATTATTATTCAATATATATGGCCAATCATTCTGTACATTTACCATTTAAGGTTGTACCTTCCTGTCAACATTTTGGACCCAAATTAGTTAAATTGGACCACCATTTCCTCAAGCCCGTTTTCCTAAAGTGTGTAAGCTGGCCAAACAAGGAATATTTCGATTTTTGCTGCATTAATAAAATTGGCCAATTAATTAGTTCTTTAGAAAAACCAAATCCCCTAATCTCAACTTAATTTTTTTTCCGTATGTTCTCTAATTGACTTTTAAGTGTTTGTTTACCCTTCACGTTGTTCGGATGACTACCAAGATTAGTATAAATATGGATACAGCTAAGTTGATACGAGATGGAACGATGTAACATGTAATTAAAAATGGAAGAGAGTAGTGTCTAATTGAAAAATCAATATCCATATTTAGGACTTGTTTAGTAGTGATTATAAGAATTGATTTTTTGATCATTAGAGAGAAAAATGATCCTATCTTTAAGATAAGAAGTCAAAAATGAAGGCTGAAATAATGAAATAACGGTCAAAAAATTAATTTTTTGGGGTGAAAAATTACTACCAAACATGCACTTAGTAAATGAGATAACAAGTGATTATTTCATTTCATTAAAATAATGTTTTTAATTTAAAAGAAGATTCCTTTTTTCTTCTAATGTTTGACACATAATTTGTCAACAATCATCAAATAAAAACCCTTGACTAAAACCAATCCATGTTACTGGGCCCCTGGAAATATATGAAAACCCATTGATTCTCACTCCAAAAAAATAAAAATTAAAAAATGATAAAGAAAAAAAATTAAACTCCCATATAATACGTACTACATCAAAGACCATGTTATTGATTCCATTATTATTTTTTCTTTTTTCAAACTCATAAAAGAAATAAAAAGCTAATTAGAGCATCTTATGCCATATTACTATACCCAAAAAATATAAAATAATAATAATAATAATAATAATAATAATACTGCATTATTTTATTGTGAACTAATCTTCCAGTCAACGATAATTGGTTGTCAAATTCGTGTGATCATTTAAAATAACAATAATTATTTGAAGATTCTTAAGAATAAAAATAGGAGACCATAGTCTCATAAATAAATATATAAATATATTCAGTCTTACTAAACTCCATTCGGTGTTAAAATTAAATAAAAAACACAATCATACTTATTATTACATACAAATACCTTTTCTTGTCGCACTAGTAGAAACTTCGCAGTTACTAACTACTCGAGACATTATAATATATATGTATAAATTTATCTTTGCTAAAACTATATTTGTATAAATATATATATGTTTTTTATTTATTTTATTTAATATGGCTTAATCCAAGGGATAAGGTGTCTTTGATGCCCTTGAAATTAACCATGATTTCTGATGCAATCCATAACTTTGCAGCCTCCGTCGTATTGGATCCTAGCTTGGAGGTTAAAGCTTCATTACAATCCGAAAAGTATTTTCCACTCACATTTACGAGTCTCGGATGTGTAGCAACATAGCAAGTCGTAGCAGCTGCCTAAATGACATAATTAAAAATAAATAAATTTCTCCCTCAGCATGATTTTTTATACGAATGTCAATACAGAAATGCTAAAGGACAGGGATTGGGGACAGGGTCGAGGTGGCGCCATCTCATCCCTGTAAAAAATTCAGATCAAGTGCCGAGGTTGCACCACCTCAACCCTGCCCCCAATCCCTGGCCCCTCCCCCAGTATTTGTAGCAGATCTGATATCAATAAGTTAGGAAAACAAAGAAATGTTACCTGAGGAATCGTCTTCAAAAATTTTGAAGCCAAAAAGAACACAAGATCTGCATATCACAAGTTTCAATTTTAATTAATAATGCATGCAAAAGCCATATTTTTTTAAATGACTCAGGTGTTCGAACGTCGTCCAACTAATCTTGAGAAGTGGGGCCTTCCGCTTGGTTCGCCACCCAGATAAATTCGAATGCAAAAGCCATATTTATATATATATAGAAGATATGTTTGAGCGTAATCACCAGTAATGAAGCCTTCGCAATCTCTAGTGAGTCTAGTTCTCACGACCCCCGGATGAACACAATTTATTGTCACGTTTGCATCCATTTCCTGCACCAATATATTATAGAAAAACACACATGCATGCTACAATAATTACTCGATGGAATTAAGAAAATAATTAATAGTTAGAAAGATATAAAAATCCACTTTTCTCATTGATAATATTTTAAATTTGGAAGAAGAAAAATACAAATAATATAAGGTAATCTTGCCTTGAGTCTGTAGGCAAGTTCCTTGGTATGCAAAACGTTAGCCAACTTCGACAGAGCATAAGCACGTGTGCCATCGTATTCACTGTCAAACAAAACAAATATTAAAGTAAAACGTTTACCAATTTATTTTAGGATCTGTCTTTTTCTAGTTACTGCTGTTACATCTTTTAATTTTTCAAAAATAATCAGGTGTAAACTCACCATTTATTCTTCGTTATGAAACAAAGATAACTAATAAAATCCCCCGAAAACCAGCTATGAATGTTCGATGAAACATTCACGATTCTTCCTTGAACGCCAGTTGTTTTTGCCGTTTTGATCATATTGCTCAGCAATAACTTCGTCAACAGAAAATGACCTAATTAACGTACATGGAGAATACGTTAATGTACTAGAACTATAACACGTACAATGTTTTTATGTTGAAATTAGAAAATTTACCAAGATAATTAGTAGCAAAACTCGTTTCAATCCCATCCTCAGTAATGCTGTGATTGTACGAGAATTTTCCGGCATTGTTTCTGATATAAAACATACATTACTGATACAAAAGTAACATGCGTAAACAAGAAACTACGCCCGTTTTGTGGAGATTTAAATCAGATTTTTAGCATATTTTGGTAAAAGTTAATGGTTGAAAAGTTGTGGGATCCAAGAAATATAGATTATAATTTCTATCGAACGGAGGCAAACGTATACAAGATATGTGAAAAAGGGTGAATCGAGGGTTACATGAGGAGATTGAGAGGCAAATTGAGAGACTCAAACTCAGAAGCAAATCTTCGTACAGAGTCGAGAGAGCTAAGATCAAGAGCCATAATGATAACTTCCGACTGTGGAAACTCCGAAACAATGCGAGCCTTAGTATCCTCGGCGGCTTTAAGGTTCCGTGCCGGCAAGACAAGCCGTGCGCCCCGCTTAGCCAGCACCTTAGCCGTCTCAGCCCCAATCCCAGACGTCGCACCTATTAAAGAAAATTTCTTTTATAAATTCCATTTGCTCTTGTCGATTATTTCTAAAGAAAATCTTCACCTGTGATGATGGCCGTGATGGAGCGAAGATCAGGACAGTGGTCAGTGACTTGGTCGGCGGTGGAGTTGGAGCCGAACCCACTCGGGCCGGCGGAGCCCATTAGGTACTTGATCGTTTCAAGCATTTCTTCCTTCTTTTTGTGTAACTTTCTGGAAATTAATTTCTTTCTTTTTGTAGGGTTGAACTATTGAAGAGTTAAAGAAGTAGTTGTAGTGTTTAAGTTGGAAAGCAAGTTTCAGTTGAGGTCCATAACTGTGGCTGATGGAAAATCCAAGTACGTATAAATGTGCACTTTGCTTTGCAGGAAGTCAGCAAAAGGTTGGCAGTCTTTGAGACACACAAAAAGTACGGCGATTGTTTGTATTTTGTATAAAGAATCATGCTATAAGTTTATCGAGTTTGACAATTAGATATATATATTATACTCACATTGGAGGGGCCCCCTCACCTTTGTGAGGAGAGTGTCAGCCGAGCTGTCAAGCTCGAACTGTTCAAATGCATCAACCCTTGTATAAACTCTCCTTTTGGGTTAGGGTGACAATGAATAAAGGGAACAGAGAAGTGGGATTTTTAAAAATGGTAATGGTGGGTGGGGATTAGGGAATCAATTAAGATGTCATTCATTGATTTGTTCTTAGTAATTTCTTATAATTGCATTTTTTTTGTTTGTTTATAGCATATTTTATCATAAAGTACTGATGAATCCTTGAAATTGGGAGTCAGCCTACTTTATAAGAGATGCTTCGAAGTAAAGATCAAAAAGAGTAGTGTTTGGAGGGAATTCTATGGTCTAATCCTAGGATACATATGGTTTAATTGTGTCTCTTATATCAGCTATAACTTTCAAAAAAAATGAATGCATCTTCCTATATCAATTGATATTAGAGTTGTAAGTTCCATGTTTGATTCTATGAGGAGGGGAGGACGTTCTGAAGCATAATGGAAACATAAGGTGTTCACACAAATAGTGCGTGAGATGGATCAGCTATACTTTTTCGGAGAAAAGTTATTACATCTCGATATGTCAATAAATTGATTAAAACCATACAAATTTCTTATTGAAACACATTGTTAAAAGCATAGTTTCGAAGAAAATTTGTGTTGTATTATTTCTTCATACAAACCTAGTTTTATCTTGGAATATTACGTGTTATAGTTCGAGCTCATATGTTTTCAAGTAATATAGGTCGTGTTAAATGGAACTCACGAGAGACAAGCAGTATTCACGTGCTCTATATCTCATCCCTTCCATAAGCAAAATTAGGTGTATTAATATTAATAGCAAAAAAAATTAAATGTACAAAAATTGACAGATAAATAAATTAAAAAATAAAAACATGTAGTCCCTATAGAAAAGTTATAGCTAGAGTCGGCGATTAATGAAAATGGATGATTCCAGAAATTAATTAAGGGAAGGCACGGGCATCAAGGTGGACTGATGCGGCTAAGAATTATATAAATAATAAAAATCTATGGTCAAAAAATTTCAATAAAAAAACCTTATTAGTACAGTAGAAACCATTGTCAAACTGGTAACAGTCTCATTTTATTTTTTTAACCTTAATATAGCCCATGTTTGGTTTTCTTCAAGGATCCGTTTGATTGTAAAAATAAAATTTGAATAAAAAAAAAACAAATTTTAGGGAATTGAATTGTTTATAACTTATTTTGTTGAAAATTGTCAATTAAATGTATTTGATTGATATAATTTTCCATATAAAAAATGTTGAAATTTTGAATCTTTTGGTGTTCGTTTGATTTTGTTTTTCATGAAAATTGTCAATTAATGGATAGATTTATTTATTTATTTATTTTGAATTGTGGATAGAATTTGTTTTCATTGCCAAAAAAAAAATTAAAAAATCCAATTTTCACCAATGCCAAAGGAATTGAAATTCCTTCGAAACCAAAAAAATGCTATCACATGAGGGAAAAGCGGGAAAGTAAGTCCATGGACAATTTAGTGTATCAAACAACACAAATGAGTAATATTTTTTGAATGTATAGTTAAAAATTTAATTTTACTTTCAATGAAAATTATAAGTAACATTTAATAAAATCCAAAAATAGGCATAACTGAGTATTTCAAACTCTTACAATAAAATTGAAATTTTGACACTATATAATACCTAATTTTAACGTTTCTTGAATCTAATTATTTGTCATAAATGGGAAAAAAATGGTAAACCGACCACTCCATTGTGTGATTTTTTTACTTATTGGAATAAGGTTTTTATATTTGTTCTTCTAGTGGTGTAAAGTACGTACGTACTTCTCTTGAAGAAAAGGAAACAACATTTTTGGAACATTATAAAGCAATGTACTCTCTTTTATCATATGATTAACAGCCTGTTTGGAAGAAATTTTTTATCTAAAAAAATTAATTTTTTGATCGTTATTTCAATATTTCAGTCATAATTTTTGACTTTTTCTCTCACGGGTGGACTTCACTTTTCTTCTAATGGTCAAAAAATCAATTCTTAAAATCCCTCCCAAACAGAGCCAAAAATAACTATAAATTTGCAATCATGAATCTGACGATTCAAGTTCAATTGAAATCATAATATAGCAACCATGCAGCCGTAGGAATATGTTAAACATAAATTATCCTAATTATCGAAAGCTCCCCTATTGAAAATTAATATTATTGAAAAAAATATATAAACAAAGAAATTAAAAAAGTGTGTAATGGGCTCCTTAGGAGCCAAAAGGCAATTATTATATATTAAAGGATAACAATTCGTGAAAATTCAGCCTTTTGAAGAACTTTGATCAGCTTCCATATGCTTCTTTCAATGACCCACACAAAATGTTCTTCTTATTCCTCGTGCACCAAAAGTGTTCCATTTGGTCAATAATCTACCTTCTTTTGCACTTTTCATAATTGTTATAATCAAGTGATATGGTTCTCTCTTAAAATCGAGATATATAAGTTGTTTATAAGAGTATATCCAATGGTGCTCTAATTTAGATTTAAATTTTCAAATTGGTCGAAAATCTCTTCAATAGATATATGCAAATAAAATGAAAAGTGCATTTTTCGACAGTAAATATAAAAAAACGATGTACATCTATTTATAGGATTCACAAAAGGCAAAAGCTACCAGCCCACTTGCATCCCTTTTTTTGGGGAAAATTACAGCAGTGGTTCCTAACATTTTCATTTTTTATAGATTTTACTGTAATCTTCATTTGGTGTCAGTAAAGATCTCTAAATTTCATAAATATATGCACCTGGAATCTATATGGAGAGAAACCATCCAAAATACCGTCAATTGATCGAAAAAATTAAGAAATCAACATCCAATAACACCGTAAAAAAAAGTATAACATCCAATAAAACCATCAAAGTAGCAGATAGTTTAAGAAAATTTTCCGATCAATTGTTGGTGTTTTGGACGATTTCCATCCAGATGTACCTCATGTGCATATTTATGAAAGGTCAGGAACCCCCGTTGGCATCAAATAAAGATTAGGGCAAAGTCAGCAAAAAATGAAAAGGTTAGGGACGGCTGTTGCAATTTTCTCTCTCACTGTCTCTCTTTTCCAGATTCTTTACATTGGAACAGAATTTGGATTTAAATTCACTAGAATGTAAATGAAAATACAAAAGTGATTATGAAAATGTCAATTTACACTCAATTTTCTATTACCATTAAAGATACACTAAGTTAATACGTATGGGATGATATTACTTAATTAGAATCTTATTTTATTTTATTCTTCCTTGACTCTTGATTCTGTTTATCAGCATCTACACTCAATTCACGTATACAATTTTCATTAAACATATTATTACATCATGTGTGACAATATGAATGTGTGTATACCATATACCTAGTGACAAAGTTCAAATTACTTGTATTTATTTTTCTATGGTGTCGTTTTATCTCTATAACATTTGTAAGATATGACAAATAAACTACTAATAAATGATGCTGGCAAGAGGAGGAGAGTATTCGATAGTGTTATCTTTTTTCTCCAGGACCAATTGTACAATTTCAAGGGCATGGATTTTCTAATGTGTAGAACACATGGAGTACAACTTGATTTTGACCTCAACTTAGGTTCCTCCTAGCCAAATCAATACGTGAGACCATGAAACTTCGCACCTAGGAATTTCAGAACATAATCACTCAAATTCGACTAATTTCTATCTATGCATTTTAAATTATATGCTAAAAACAAAGCAGAGTTCTATCAATTTTTTAACGACTAGTGCTCCTCGAAAATGGTGCTAGTCTTACACTGTGAGAGAGAATGCATTTCTTCCTATCCTCACAATTCACTCCAACACCTTTAGTAAGCATTATTGGTGGTGTGGGATGGGATGGGATGGGATGGGATGGGGTGCAGATACGATGTTGTCCTGATTTGAATGGAATTATGGGGGTTAGAATTGATACTCTATTAGCACCACATAAACAGTAAGAAAATTAGGCAAGGATACAAGAATTTTTTTTACCTTAGCATTGGAAGTTCGATGACCGCTTCTAATACCCGATCCTCTGTTGAACTTGAGCATCCCTTAAAAGTTACGTTCAAATTTACTCCGAAAATCTCAAATACAAGATAACGATTCAGATTATAGAACAAGTTCTCTTCTCCCTAAGAATACACTCAAATCTCTCCCTCTTCTAACGCTCAGATTAGGTTAATGTTTAACAATACAATCAGAAACCTTCCTTCTTTACAGAATTCACTCAAAAAAGGAAAGGAATAAGAAGATGAAGAACAAATGAAGAATGATGTAAGTTGAAGGAGATTTAACCCCTTGTTAGGCCCTATTTTTTTCAATCTAATTTTCAACAATACATTTAATGGGATCCATTTTATTAATTTTTTCTTTACATATTTCATCAACTTTTATTATAATTCATTAAAAATCTAATTTTTAACTAAACCCAAAGGACTAAGGTTTTTCCAAGAATAATTCCCTATTCGTGGCGAATTATTCACATAAATCATACAGGTGTTGCAACTCAACACATAAAGGCTAATTCAAATAGCAAGTTCAACTCATTGTAGGCGACAACACATGCATTACATAGATTGGGCCTTTAAAAAATTACCAGGCCTCAAACTATACATATGGGCTTTGACTCATTAATTTGGGCTCTCAAGTGCGAGTAACACATTCTTCACAATGAATAAATACGATTAAAATTAAGTATGTTAAGTTCTTATAGAGCCTACTCTGATATCATTTGATACAAATCGTCGTATAGCACGCAGGGGAACGCCACACCGAAGCCTAGGAATTTGGTTAGCTATTTACCCACGTGACAAGCAAACTTGACATACT